AATAACTAGAAGTATTTTTGCTGTAACTGTGAGGAGGATTGCCAAATCAAAAGTTTATTCACAATATACGCAGTTAGCAAGAATGTTTGACATATAATTACACCTAGCATCGCGCAAAATAATGCTTTATTTGGTTTTTAAACTTTAAGAACCTCTAGTTTGGTACAGAAGTAAATTTTCCTTATTAAATAATTGCTGGAATTGGAGGCTTTCTTTTGACGCGGCATTCTAAAACAGGGCTTTCTGATGAGACCAAAAATGCCTGGCAAACCGTAACCAAGTATTTCTAATGAAACGGACAAGCCTATTCGCCGTATACATAAAGTTATGATAATAACGCAGCGGGCAGTCTGTAGCCATATGCAACAGCTTGCTACCAAAGCAAATGACACCGGTTTCAGAATACAAACCTGTTTGTCTAATAATTTCAGATGTTTATTATTGGGGGCTAGTTAAAAGTATGCTTCGCATAAGTTATCAGATAATTCGAAAATTCCTCCATTTGTTTAAACCAGCAATTATGGTATGTATCCAAATGTCTCTTATTATCCGGTTTAATGTTTATCATGTACGCAATGGATATCAATTACATAGGACGGGCGGGCCTCAAAACCCAACATATTTTTGACCAAAACCAAACAACCTGCATTAGGTCTTTACATCCGAACACTGATTACAACTTGCCCAGATTTGTTTTACTGACTGTGGTACCAATATTTGCTTCCATGTGAGAGAAAAATTACGGGGTAGTTAAAGACATCTCCAAATGATTGCAAATATTTGCAGCAATAAAAGGAGAAAAGTGACTCTCATTTTGGCGTTAAGGATAACCTGGGGCTAACCAAAGTTGCTTAAGTGATTCAGTGCAGTAGTAGTTAGGATAATCAGGTAGTTGGGGGGGCGGGCGGCGGGGGGGGGGGGCGGCGGGGGGGGCGGGGGGGCGGGGGGGGGGGGGGGGGGGGCGGGGGGGGGGGGGGGGGGGGGGGGCGGGCGGGGGGGGGGCGGGGGGGCGGCGGCGGGGGGGGGGGCGGGGGGCGGGGGGCGGGGGGGCGGGCGGGCGGGGGGGGGGGGGGGGGGGGGGCGGCGGGGGGGGGGGGGGGGGGCGGGGGGGGGGGGGGGGGGGCGGGGCGGGGGCGGGGGGGGCGGGGCGCGGGGGGGGGGGGGGGGGGGGGGGGGGGGGGCGGGGGGCGGGGGGGCGGGGGGGGGGGCGGGGGGGGGGGGGGCGGGGGGGGGGGGGCGGGGGCGGGGGGGGGGCGGGGGGGGGGGGCGGGGGGGGCGGGGGGGGGGGGGGGGGGGGGGGCGGGCGCTGGATTATGCTGTTGGTTTTTAATCAGTGAGTGAAGGCACACAGGCACTGCAGCGTTCATTTTAATGCTTAGCAATTTCAGCGTAAGTTATGACATGCAATTAACACCAACAACATTCAAAGAACCTTTTAAAGACTGGCGTATGCCTTGCCATTACTCGCTTTTGATGGTTAATTACTAGAGTTAGTGGATCGTGTTAGGTACTTGGAAAACTGCGTCGCTGCTGGCATTTTCGCTTAATATGTGATTACATTATTTGTCTTAACATCTCGTCTCGCTTCCTCCAGAGTGAGGCACCCGTGTCGCAGCCATAATAACTTGATCCCTATAAAATTGTAGATTTAATATATGACCCTCTGTACAGTTGTCATATCTATTTTTTGTTCCAATGACCCTCGCCGCCTGCCTGACTTGGTTTACCGTTATTGATGTACAGTGCCCTTGTGAGTTATCTGCACCAACTTAAAAAGTAGATAGGGCGTCTGAGGTGGAAGCTGCGCAATCTCTCAAGACACTTGTCTTTATACGTTAGTTAACTTGCTTGTACATTATTGCAAACGCATATCCACGCTCTTGCTCTTGGCGTTGTTCATGGCTGCCGGACAAAGCTGGAGGGGTTGGCTTATCGAATAGCCAACAAATTGAAAAGGTAGGACAAAGAAATCAACGAAACAGTGGTCTGGTTAAGTACAAATCGACCAGCTGGATTACTTCTTAGTTTTGTTCCGTGTAGCTGGCTGAAAACCACAAAATTTTGGCTGAAAACGGAACTCAGTGGCGGACATCTATGTATACGTTAAACATGATGAGTCCCATTCCATCCCTTAATGATGGCGTTAAAAATAAAACTCAAATTGTGCGGGGAGTCTTACACAAAGTGTGTCTTCTCGAAGCATAAATAACGTTTTAGAGGAGATTTATGCTGCAACTTCATTAAGATTATTTCATTATATTTAGCCAACGTTTGCCCTGCCCTTGAAGGTAAACTAAGTTTGCCTGTTAATATAACGTCTTCGTAACAATACCTGTGCTCCTGTGTGTACGATACCTCAATCGCACTTCTAAGCTTTTGTTCCCAATGATTCGCGAACACGTACGAATGTGGTTCTACGGAGTTGAAATGATGTCTACTAACAACTTGATTTGGTCACACCTTGGTTACGTTCATACGGCATTAGCAAAGAACTTCGAGGTAATCCACTCCTTACACCTAGGCTATTCATAATGCTTCTTCAGACAACTGCTATATATTTACGAGACCATATACAACTGCTACCTGAGGCCTATGGAATGTGTTAAGCCGATGTCTGTCAAGCCTAGCCAGATACCTTGGCCAACGAGCACCGTTACTTAATTAGCTGCCTATTTGTCCAGCAGCTAAGCTTCTTTCTTTTCTAATTAGCATTGCCTACTATCCCATTTTCTGACTTAGCAAATTTTCTGTAGCAGCGACCTAATTTTCTTAAAGCTATCAATTAAAGTGCGCATATTCAATGTTTAGCTCTTTAGTTTACTTCTACAAGCAAGTCTCATATAAACATTTGACGAGGGTTTACACGAGATTAATCCTTGACTCACAATTTACTTTCTGGTTTCGATTATTAACAGCAAATGATTACTGCTATAATTTCTTATTAGCCAATTTTGTTTACTAAACCGTCTTGATGCCAGCGACACTCTAAATGTACACTGTGGATTAAACGTTACTACCATCCACATGTTTGCAAATTTTATATCGCCCTGCTTACACTACTTATGGGTTTTGTGGACTCAGATCGGCGTGATGCAACGCAAAACACTCATGGTCATTTTGTAAGTGCAAGCGTTGTGTCTCTCTCCTCTAGATGCAGAACTGATAATCAAATCCCCAACGGGATCCCGCCAAATGTGTAAGTATAGGTATTTATTAATTTCTAAAAAGCAGCAGCGTTGCAGTCTGTCTAACTTGGGAAATATACAAATCATAAATACACTAGGCGTGTCTTGGTCTTTACACGTTTTACACTGGATGAAATCACCATACGAACTCAGCACGGTTAAGAGACCCTTCGTACCATCTCCTTGGGCAACATGCAAATCTCCTCTAAAGGTTGTAGAATCATAGTATCGGTTGTTTTTACAGGTAGGCAACGTTTAAGATGCAAATAAAATGCGACTACTAGAAGGATGTTAAAAAATAAACAAAGGAATTCAAGGAAAATTATTGGTCAAAAATTAACGCGGTTAATGTAGGAAAGTAAGAGAACTGAGCAAATCAAATATAGTAGAATGCTTTATTATCAATTTAAGTATATTTCAGTTTCTATGTAACTTTGTGTACCCAACTGATATTTAGGTGCAAGTAGTATGCAAATACAATCTCGGCATATATGTTTATATATCTCGACTGATACCACAGGGAAAGACGAATCTGAATTATAGTTATTTAATTTAATGTACAGTTTCCCATTGAGGTAGTTTAAAAAAAAACAACATTCCGGGTTGAATTTCAATACTACACCGAGTGTTAACTTTTTCTTATCGCAGCCTTAATATTTTCGATGAATGCTGTTTGTATTGCTCTAATCGATGTTCATTTTACCTAAGCTTAAACGCCAAATGTGCACACATTTATCGTTTGTCAATATAACACTGCACCCAGAAGAGCACGTTCAATGTTGCCAAGTTGCGAGGGGTTTTCCATCACATAGGTTAACTAGTGCTTAGCTAAATCTAAATATATAAATAATATTTTGATAGTTTGTAAGGTAGTACATTTAATCGGTTAATACAATTGACGTACTGTGATAACCTGATTCGTTAATTTTGATGTTTCCTGAAAATTTCCAGGAGTTAAAAATTTTTTATATATAAGTGTTACAACTTCAAAAGCATTAGCACTGGGAAATTTTAGACTTTTACTAAAACGTAAAGCTTAAATTTCAGAGTTCTTGGTAACAGTTTTTTACTTATATCTAGTTGTGTGTTACATGGACTAAAAACGTACTTATAGTAACACTTGAAAACGGCAACTGTTCTCAAGCCGCGCAGCCGTTTAAATGATGTGTTAACTGGGATATTTGTAATGTGAATAAAATGTAAGTAAAACTCTGATCATCTACAAAGAAGAAAGCAACCATAGTTTTGGTGGCATAATATATAAGAATTTTAATAACTTGACATGTTAGGTATGAGCACTTTCAACGCATTTTCCGCTTTTTAGATGTATATAATAATCCGCTTAAAAATTTCGCTTGCATTTCGAGTTTGGTTTACACATTACGTGCCTTGGAAATGTGGTTATGTATAATATATATATTAACCGTCTTAATAAAATTTTGCGCTTATTATGACAGCTGATACATTTTTTCTGTGCATTGTGTTTATCCTAAGGATATTCAACATAAAAGTATTAAAATTAAAGCAACAGAGGAAGGCATATGCAATACTAAAACTTTCTGCTCTATGTATCGTGTATAAGCGACTGAACAAACAGTGGGAACTTTCTGTTACCTGGTCAGCGAGGCATATGCATGACGTTTATTGGCCAGTAAGCCAAGGTTATTCTAACACCCAGAATTGTAATCACAACATTCACAAGTGTTAAAAACAATCTGAACCCTTATAATAACGCGTTATATTATTCTTTTGTTACCGCTAGAGAAGTACATAGTTATGGTAAATATAGTAAGCTTCTGAGCAAAGACGACGATATGAGTTTGCTGCGGGATCGGAAAGTGCGGAATAATAGCTTAATCTTTAGTTTTACCCATCGGGAAACATATACGTATAAATATATATATATACATATATATAACATTTTCTCTTGGATGACGTGTGCATTAGCAAACTACATGTGTAGAAATCCAGAGGCAAAAGGCAGCAGGTTGCGTTGCATAGGTCCAAACTTAGCTCAGTCCTAAAAATTATCTGTGGTTCCAGCCCAGCGATTATAACTTCAATCATATTCAGTGTTTTAAACCGAACAAAATCTTATGCTGTCATGGTGAAAGGTAATAAGGATTTGGCCTACAATATGTATAAGGATTAACTGCGTGTCTAATCAGACCTAACGATTTTAAGTTTTGAATTTTTGATTAGTTGTACAATAAACCCTATGAGTTAGATATTACTTCATGTGTGCATATATGACCTAAACATTATAGAGCATGCATATTATGTTCGAAGCAACCTTTTCTTATTTCTTGCCAAAATTTCCCCGTCATTTTGCCGTAAGAATCAAGCAACTGCCGACGATTGATCACAAACGCATGCTTTCCGGATAACATAAATTTAAATTTGTGACCTGAACTTAGTTTTACATCACAAGGGAATATAATTAAAATCTCGGTAACAATTTGATGCATATAATGTTACCTGTTCTATGATGTGTAAATAAAAGCTTCTTTTGCAAGCTGAAGCGGTTAGGGTTCTAAGAAAGACATAATAGATCTGCCTTTAAACAAAATAAAATTACTAGTAATTACAAGCTCTAAAGTTGAGAAAATAACCGGGGCAAACCTTTTATTTTGGCACAAATAAAACTGAACATAAATTATATCTTAAAACCCAATGGGATAATTAGTAAACAACGTGTCGTCGGGGTACGTATATATTTGGTTGTTTAAGTAATTTCCATCTGCCGCCTACATGCTTAAGTAGTTGGCTCACTTTAGTAGGAGTGAGCGATTAAAAAGGAAATAAAACATTTAATTTGCCAGAGAAGCGCTTGCGACCAATTAAGTCAAAGTAGGGCAAACGGAAACCCTGGCTCTTCGTATAGACTGCGTTTAAAACCGAAAGGCTGGTGCCTTTGAAAAACTCAATTTATGTGTTTTGTCCGGTTTGTTGAGGACCTTCAACTCCTTCCTAGAGCTTTGGCTTAACTTGCAGCTGAATAAATGCTTAGCAATATAGCTAAGGATTAAGGTTGCATCAATGTCGTTTGTTAAAAATACGAAAGTGTCGCAGTACCATAGATGGTATTTCAATAAAACTCCAAGAGTCTGAGAGCAAGATTTAAGTATTTTATTATTTAAAAAGT